AGTATGGTTATCGCTAGGTATAAAAAAGACTTAAAGGTTTTCGTTCCAAAGTAAATGTTGCTTTTATTTTTCATATTTGTTCCATTTCCATAACCCTAACCACGATGTTTTAAGCATTCAAAATTCATCAAAAGCGAAACATTTGCAACAAAAGCCAAAGTACAATTCAATTTCTAGGAATAACATGCTATTTTTCTGAATCCCCATTTTTATTTTTCCCATTATAAGTTGTTTATGTTTTAAAAAGTTCGTCCTCAACTGAAATCAGCTCGCAATTTTTCGTCAATAATGCCAATAATTAATTTTATCTTCGTAGGTTTGAGCTTATGGAATTGACACTAGACAATTTTTTTTCGATTCTACGGTTAACTTCAAACAAAGAAAAAAATTGAATTAAATGAATAAGCAATGGACACAGCTGTTATTTACTAATTTGCAGAGTTATTAATCGGTTAATGTTTCTACTTGATATCACATGTAAAAGTAAATGTGAATAATGTTTTTTGTGACTCCGTATCCCTAATTAAGTAGATTGCTGTTATCATTTATTAGTAGTATTCTAGATTTATATAAATAATTCTAGATTTTATATAAAAAATATTAAAAATATATAATAAATTTAATTTCTGAAACTCGGCTTTGGCTTGCTAGTCTGTAAATGTTTTTTAATGAAATTTCGATTAAAATTTTCTTTAATTATAAAAAACCTCAATTTAAAAAAAGCTATTTAAAATACAGACAATCCAATGAAAACCCAATTCTAAAAACCATAATTGTTACAAACTTGCATTCAAGATATACATACAGACTAGAGATTAAAAAGATACTTTATGATAAACATTAATTAAAAATTGAAAGAATATATATGCGACTAAATTGAAGTAAAAGTAAATAAAAACCTTCTCACAAATCGGTTCCGGTCTCACAATCGGTCCAACGCTATGCATGAGAGGACTTACATTGTAGAGGTCGTATTCATTATGCAAAATACGTAGAGGTTACTCTCTATCTAACCCTATCTCGTACTGTTTCATCGCATATCACACGGTCTGCGCTGCCTGTCCGGCCAAAAAAAAGAGAGTCCGGGCGGAACGTAGACGCGAGATATTTTCATTAAGCGAAATCAAAATAGCCCGCTCCGTGCAATATGGTGCACATATAAAATGAACCAAAACCCCATTGGATGTAAACCAGTGCGAACGGCAGCAACTGTTCAACTATGAAAACGGAAATGAAAGCAATATTCCGAATCTGTTCGCACATATGAATTCGCTTCGGAATCTCGCTTTTCTTTATCCTCAATGCAAAATCTCCATTAGGCATGGCTGAAAAGATACAATTAGTTCTGTCGCGGAATTTATTGTTTATTTTGTTTATATGGTGCCGGATGGGGATAACTGTGGAACTGTCTCTACTGAACGATATATCCTTCATGCAAAATAATTTCAATTGCAGTGATACAGAAATATTAATAACTGATTGCACTTTGAACTGCGGCGCTAATGTTAGCTTAAAGCAGAGTTAAAGTGCTAATTACTGTGGCCGCAAATTATACATAATATCTATATTATGGTTATTCGCAATTTGATAAAACCATCAGTAACACATTACGCACAATAACACAGGTCCACAAAAAAAGTTGTTTGTATACTACGTACATTACTACGTATGTTTTTCAATGTAATTTTACCACTAAACACGAATCTAAAGTCAAAATTGGGAGTCCAACTAAAAAAATGTTGAAAAAAAACGAAAAATTTATATGATTTTAATTACCATGCAGAAGATCTTTGAATTACTAGAATTCGAATTACTAGATATAAAGAAATTACTAGATATAAAGAAATTTCGAATTACTAGATATGAGATTTTTTTTCTCCCTTTTGTATTTGGACCACCAATTGTTATTTTAGATTCGTGTTCAAAGGTAAACCTACATTGGAAAAAAAAGTCACACACCCAATACAGACAACTTTTTTTTGTTGACCCGTGTAATAATTGATTGGAATATTTTTAAATAAACAGTCATAAACCTTCCTGTTTTATAAATAATAGCAAGTCATGATGACTGTGAATTGATTTGAGATTGTCGTTTATTATTCACAAAAAAATTGATAAAAAGAAAACTTCATATATTGCGATAGTGCAATATCTAAATCTTATTTGAATATCACAGATGTATTTCTTTGAAATGCGTATACTTGCTTCTTCTTTTAAAATGTCATGCTTTGGCAAAAAGTGTTTAAGGAGAAAACTTTGATTCGTATGTACAAGTTTTCTATGAGCGCCTCAAAACTTTGCAATTCGTTTTTTACAAAGATGATAAAAATCAAATAAAGCTTTATAAGAGTAACTTTTTAAACAAATATAAAAAAACAAATAATAGGTACACTGATCATAATTAGAGATATGTGAAAAAAATGGTGAATGAAACATGAAATAGTAAAAAATATAATGATAAATTTAAATTCTTAAAATTAGCATTACATTTACATTATAATACAATTATATATATATATATATATATATATATATAATATATGATATATATATATATATATATTGTATTATTGTATTAATACGATTTATAATATATATTTTAGCAGCTTATGTTTAACGAAACATTGCATTTTATAGTG